TGCCAGGTGTGGTGGTGCAGTGCCTGTAATCCAAGCGAGCTCGGGAGGCTGAAGCAGGAGAATTGCTTGAACCTGGGAGATGGGTTTCCAAGTGAAGCCTGAGGACGTGCCACTGTGCTCCAGCCTGGTGCAATCAGAGTGGACTACGTTCACAAAAGAAAAAAAAAAAAAAAAAGGAAAGAAAGATAATAAAAGTAAAATTGAAAAGCTCAGGCGCTGAAGTTGAGCCCAGGTCCCATGCACTCCAAAGTCAAGGCTCCAGCTGGAAGTTAGGCCCAGGTCCATGCCTCCAAAGTCAAGGCTCCAGCTGGAAGTTGAGCCCAGGTCCACGCACTCCAAAGCAAGGCTCCTTCCGAGGCTTGTGCGTAGCGTATTGTATCTGGAATAGTGAGAAGAGTATTCACCAAGAGGTGAGGCTTTCTGGAGAGGGGGTTTATTTTACTTATTATTTAATTTTGATGTTATTTATTTATTTATTTTGAGACAGAGTCTTGCTCTTTCCCCAGGCTGGAGTAGCAGCGGGGCCACCTCAGCTCACTGCAACGTGCCTCCGGGTTCAGCAATTCTCGTGCCTCCCAAGTAGCTGGGACTACAGGCACCTGCCACCGACGCTGGCTATTTTTGTACTTTTAGTAGGTTTGGGCCAGGCCGCGTGGCTCACGCCTGTAATCCCAGCACTTTGGGAGGCCGAGGCGGGCGAGATCACAAGGTCAGGAGATCGAGACCATGGTGAAACCCCGTCCTCTACTAAAAATAGAAAAAATTAGCGGCGCAGTGGCAGGCGCCTGTAGTCCCAGCTACTCGGAGGCTGAGGCAGAGAATTGGCGTGAACCCGGGAGGCGAGGCTTTGCAGGTGAGCAGAGATTGCGCCACTGCACTCCAGCCTGGGCGACAGAGCAAGATCCGTCTCAAAAAAAATAAATAAATAATAAAGTAGGGATGGAGTTTCACCATGTTGACCAGGCTGGTCTCAAGACTCCTGACCTCAAATGATCCACCCGCCTCGGCCTCCCAAAGTGCTAGGATTCCAGGTGTGAGCCACTGTGCCCAGCCGAGAGTAGGGGGTTTTAAAGGAAAATGTGGATGTGGCTTGTGGTAAGGACAGCATGAGGCATTCTTAGAGGGAGCAAAACACCAGCAAGGACATGGTGGGGTGCATGTGTGTATGTGCATATAAAAGGGAGAACGTCTGTACTGGGGTGGAAGTTCTGCAGGGTCTGCAAAGTCACCCTTGTTGAAGCTGGAGCTGGAGACACCAGCTGAGGACATGGGCATGCTCTAATGGGCAGCGAAAGGCCACTGGCAGGAGTGAGGCAATGACAGTGACCTTTGAGGTAGGTTTCTCCAGAGGCTAGGATGATGGCCTTCATTGACACCACCATTCACTGAATATCTACCATGTTCCAGACACTTGCACATTCTTCCAGGTAAGTGTTACCCAGTTACTCCGATTTCTAGATGGAGGAATGATGGCTCTGAAACCTTCGATAACCCTCCCAAAGTCACAGAATTAGTAAATGGCAGAGTGGGATTTTATTCCAGGTCCAGATGCCAAAGACTGTTTTCTTCACTTTCCCCTCTGCCTTCAAAGAGACCTGCAGGGCCAGGCATGGTGGCGCATGCCTGTGATCCGAGTGCTTTTGCATGCTAAGGTGGGAGGATTACTTCAGCCCAGGAGTTTGAGGCCACTCTGGGCAACATAGCAAGACCCCATCCCTACAAAAAAAATTAAGAATTAACAGGGTATGTTGGTGTGTGCCTGTAGTCCCAGCTACTCAGGAGGCTGAGTCTGGGGAATCCCTTGAGCCCAGGAGTTTTCAAGGCTGCAGTGAGCTATGATATGCCGCCTAGGTGACAGAGCAAGAAAACACTGTCTCTTAAAAAATAATAAGAGGCCGGGCGTCGTGGCTCACGCCTGTAATCCCAAAACTTTGGGAGGCCGAGGAGGGCGGTTCACAACGACAGGAGATCGAGACCATCCTGGTCAACACAGTGAAACCCCGTCTCTACTAAACAAAATACAAAAAATTAGCCGGGCATGGTGGCAGGTGCCTGTAGTCCCAGCTACTCAGGAGGCTGAGGCAGGAGAATGGCGTGAACCCTGGAGGCGGAGCTTGCAGTGAGCCCAGATCGCTCCACTGCACTCCACCTTGGGCGACAGAGTGAGACGCCGTCTCAAAAAAGTAAGAAGAATAAGAATAAGAAGAAAATAAACACTGAAAAGTTTTATTTGAAAAATACTGGCCGGGCGCGGTGGCTCACGCCTGTAATCCCAGCACTTTGGGAGGCCGAGGCGGGTGGATCACAAGGTCAGGTGATCGAGACCATCCTTGCTAACAGGGTGAAACCCCGTCTCTACTAAAAAATACAAAAAATTAGCCGGGCGTGGTGGCGGGCGCCTGTAGTCCCAGCTACTCGGGAGGCTGAGGCAGGAGAATGGCGCGAACCCGGGAGGCAGAGCTTGCAGTGAGCCGAGATTGCGCCACTGCACTCCAGCCTGGGCGACAGAGCGAGACTCCGTCTCAAAAAAGAAAAAAAAAAAAAAAAAGGAAAAAAAAAAAAAAAAAAAAAAAAAAAGAAAAATACTAATTTCCTTCCCCCCCCCCAAAAAAAAAAGAGCGTTCACAGGCTGCTATTCAGGTGTGCCATATTTGCAGAGCCGATTGAGGAACACCATGACAGAAGTCAGATTCAATGATGGAAGTCATTTTTGGAGGCAGAAACCCTTTAAGGAGATCAGGAGCTAGGTTCTGACCTGCATCAGCCTGCAGGGCCATGTTAGGGTGTGGTGCAGCCTGATTTCCACCTTCCTTCTTGCAGAATGGTGGAATCACATGTCCCAGCCCTCAGGGCAGCATCCTACCAGGCAGCGGTGGCTTTCCAGTGCCCCGGCCCAGGGTGTCTTTTGCCCTCTGGGATGCCCAGGAGTCCCTGAAGTGCTTTACCCCTCAGTGATTCTGGGCCTGGCCTGCCCACCTGCTGCCTATGCCTGAGATGGCATTATAGTTGCCCCTTTGCTGCCAGTGATGCCTCTCCCAGGCACTCAACAGGTTTTTGCTGGAGAAATGAGTACAAAGGTTGGTTTCTAGAGGTTTTACTGACTAACGCAGACAGAAATGCCCGAGGAAATTAATGTTCTCCAGGAGTTTCCTATCCTCCAGGTTTCCTTCCCTCCCTTCTTTCTCTTTTTTCTTTTTCTTTTTTTCCCTTCCTTTCCCTCCCCTCCCCTCCCCTTAAAAATTAGTGCCTGGCTAATTTTTAAGTTCTGGGATACATGTGCAGAATATGCAAGTTTGTTACATAGGTATACATGTGCCATGGTGGTTTGCTGCACCTATCAACCCGTCATCTAGGTTTTAAGCCCTGCATGCATTAGGCATCCATCCTAATGCTCTCTCTTCCTTTGCCCCCATCCCCTGACAAGCCCCTCCCCTCCCCCTTCCCCTCCCTTTACTCCCCTCCCCTCCCCTCCTCTTCCCTTCCCTCCTTCCCCCTCTTGCTCTGGCTCTCTTTGTTTCTTTTTTTTGAGATAGAGTCTCACTTTGTTGCCCAGGCTGGAGTGCAGTGGCGCGATCTCGGCTCACTGCAACCTCTGCCACCCAACTTCAAGCAATTCTCCTACCTCAGCCTCCCGAGTAGCTGGGATTACAGGCACCTGCCACCGTGCCCGGCTAATTTTTTGTAGTTTTAGTAGAGACGGGGATTTCACCATCTTGGCCAGGCTGGTCTTGAACTCTTGACCTTGTGATCCACTTGCCTCAGCCTCCCAAACTGCTGGGATTACAGGTGTGAGTCACTGCACCCGGCCCCTTTCTTTCAAGGCAGAGTCTTGCTATGTTGTTCAGGCTTGTCTTGAACTCCTGAACTCAAGCAATCCTACCACCAGCCTCTTAAGTAGCTGGGACTACAGGTGTGTGCCAGGATACCCTGCTAATTTATTTTTATTTTACTTTAAGTTCTGGGATATATGTGCAGAGCACATAGGTTTGTTACATAGGTACACATGTGCCAAGGTGGTTTGCTGCACTGATCAACCCGTCATCTAGGTTTTAAGCCCTGCATGCATTAGGTATTCATCTGAATGCTCTCCTTCCCCTTGCTCCCCACCCCGACAGGCCCCAGTTTGTGTTGTTCCCCTCCCTGTGTCCATGTGTTCTCACTGTTCAACTCCCACTTACTTACGAGTGAGAACACGTGGTGTTTGGTTTTCTGTTCCTGTGTTAGTTTGCTGGAGTAGGTTAGTTTGTTGAGCACGATGATGGCTTCCAGCTTCATCCATGCACCTGCAAATGACATTATCTCATTCTTTTTTATGGCTGGATAGTATTCCATGGTGTATATGTGCCACATTTTCTTTATCCAGTCTATCATTGATTGCCCTGCTAATTTTTTTAGTTTTATTTTTGTAGAGACAGGGTCTCGCTATGTTGTCCAGGCTGGCCTCGGTAACATAGCAATGCTCAAGCCATACTCCTGCCTTAGCCTCCCGAGTAGCTGCGTCGACAGGCACACAAAACATGCCTGGCTCCATCCTCCAGGTTTCTTGGTATGTTTTATCTCATGTATCTTTCATAATCACTTGGGAAAGTATGATTATCCTCATTTTGCAGATAAGCAAATTGAGTCTCAGGGATGTTAAGTAACTTGCCACACAACAAGTGATGGAAGCTGGGGATTCCTAGCAGAGCTGGGAGAAGGAAGTTTGAGGAGGCCGGGTCAGTGGACACATGGCTTGTGCATACTTATGCATACCTTCTCCCCAGCCCAATTCTCTCTCTTCTGTCTTCCCTCCTCTGCAGGTACTTCAGGTCATGCCTTCTGACAGCTTCTTTTTTTCCATTGTCCGAGACCCAGCGGCTCTGGCTCGCTCTGCCTTCTCCTATTATAAATCCACCTCATCAGCCTTCCGCAAGTCACCATCCTTGGCTGCCTTCCTGGCCAATCCTCGAGCCTTCTACAGGCCTGGGGCCCGTGGGGACCACTACGCTCGCAACTTACTATGGTTTGACTTTGGCCTGCCCTTTCCCCCAGAGAAGAGGGCCAAGAGAGGGAATCTTCATCCCCCCAGAGACCCCGACCCCCTACAGCTTCAGGTCTTCCCTTCTGGTGCTGGCCCTCGAGCCCAAACCCTCAATCCCAATGCCCTCATCCATCCTGTTTCCACTGTTGCTGATCATCGTAGCCAGATATCAAGCCCTGCCTCTTTCGATTTGGGGTCTTCATCCTTCATCCAGTGGGGTCTGGCCTGGCTGGACTCTGTCTTTGACCTGGTCATGGTGGCTGAGTACTTCGATGAGTCATTGGTTCTGCTGGCAGATGCCCTGTGCTGGGGTCTAGATGACGTGGTGGGCTTCATGCACAATGCCCAGGCTGGACGTAAGCAGGACCTCAGCACTTTCAGCAACACTGGACTGACTGCAGAGGACCAACAGCTAACTGCACGGGCCCGAGCCTGGAACAACCTGGACTGGGCTCTCTACGTCCACTTCAACCGCAGTCTCTGGGCACGGATAGAGAAATACGGCCAGCACCGGCTGCAGACAGCTGTAGCCGAGCTCCGGGCTCGCCGAGAGGCCCTAGCCAAACATTGTCTGGCAGGGGGTGAGGCTTCTGACCCCAAATACATCACTGATCGCCGGTTCCGCCCCTTCCAGTTTGGGTCAGCTAAGGTTTTGGGCTATATACTTCGGAGTGGATTGAGCCCTCAGGACCAAGAGGAGTGTGAGCGCTTGGCTACCCCTGAGCTCCAGTATAAGGACAAGCTGGATGCCAAGCAGTTCCCCCCTACCGTCTCACTGCCTCTCAAGACTTCAAGGCCACTCTCCCCATAGACATCAGACTACAGATTTAGGTGGAAGAGCAGCCATGTTTGAAGGGCACATGTGATGAGTGGGGGGCAGCAAGATGCCACTTCTGCATCTCCCAGAAGGGATGAGTCTTTGTCCTGATGCAAGCGTCCTCTTTGCTGGGCTCCCAACAGTGCTTTCCTCCTTCACCCTCTACTCATTTTGTTCTTTCTCCCCGATTTTTCTTTTTTTTTTAATTTTTTTTTTGAGATAGAGTCTTGCTCTGTCCCCCAGGCTGGAGTGCAGTGGCATGATCTCGGCTCACCGAAACCTCTGCCTTACGGGTTCAAGCGATTCTCCTGCCTCAGCATCCAGAGTAGCTAGGATTACAGACGTGTGCCACCATACCCGGCTAATGTTTTTTTTGTTTTGTTTTGTTTTTTTGAGACAGAGTCTCGCTCTGTTGCCTGGCTGGAGTGCAATGGCGCCATCTTGACTTACTGCAACCTCCGCCTCCCGGGTTCAAGTGATTCTCCTGCCTCAGCCTCCTAAGTAGCTGGGACTACAGGTGTGCACCACCATGCCCGGCTAATTTTTTAATTTTTAGTAGAGATGGGGTTTCACCATGCTGGCCAGGCTGGTCTCGAACTCCTGACCTTGTGATCTGTCCGCCTCAGCCTCCCAAAGTGCTGGGATTACAGGCGTGAGCCACCGCACCCGGCCTAATTTTTATATTTTTAGTAGAGACAGGGTTTCAACATGTTGGTCAGGCTGGTCTTGAACTCCTCACCTCAGATGATCCACACACCTCTGCCTCCCAAAGTTCTGCCATTATAGGCGTGAGCCACTACGCCTGGCTTCCCCTTCCCCTTTCTTGCCCCAAGGCAGATCCACATCACCAAAGCTCCCTAGGTGGGCAAAAGATGGAGTGAGCCGCAGAAAGTTTGGGGCGTGGTGAGTTGGAATGATACATCCATTTCTCTATGAAATATTTGCTACTAGACTGTTCATTTCTCTCTGAAATATTTGTTGAATGAATAAATAATTTGAAACTTCTACTTGATTTATGGAGGATGGAAAGGGGAGGGATGGAGAATCTTCCTGGAAGAAGTGGGGTTGGAAGGTTTATTTATTTATTTATTTATTTATTTATTTATTTATTCATTTTTTGAGACAAGATCTCACTCTGTCATCCAGGCTGCACCAGTGTCCCAATCATAGCTCACTTCAGCCTCAAACTTCTGGGCTCAAAGGATCCTCCTGCCTAGGCCTTATAAATAGCTGGGAGTACAGGCGCGCGCCACCGCACCCGGACAATTTATTTAAAGTTTTTGCAGAGAGGAGGTCTTGCTATGTTGGCCAGGGAGGTCTTGAACTCCAGGCCTCAAGCAATCCTCCCGCCTCGGCCTCCCACAGTGCTGGGATTACTGGCGTGAGCCAACACGCCTGGCTGACAGGGTTCTTACATTTCTTTTCCAAGACGCCTGGCCGCAGCCCCGGCCTGCATTCTCTCAGCCTCAGAGCAGCGGGACCCCGCCCCCTCCTCCACGGTCCGGGCACCCGCAGATTCCGGGGCCACGGCGGCCACGCCCCCTCCCTTCCGCTTCCGGTTTCTCTCCAGTCATTCGGCTCAGTACCCCGGTTCCGGCGCCGCCGGGTCTCGGTTCCGGATTTGTTGCCCGGGTGCCGGGACCGGGCCGGTCTCTCGGGCCGCCCCAGCCGCGCGCAGCAGCCCGAGGTGTCGGGACCCTCTGGACCTACCCTAGAGGGCCCCGCTGGGGGTCGGCCTCCGGTCCGGGCTCCCGGTCGTGCCGTCCTCGCCGCCCCATGGAGTCCCAGTGCGACTATTCGATGTACTTCCCGGCCGTGCCGCTGCCGCCGCGCGCGGAGCTGGCAGGGGACCCGGGCCGGTACCGGGCGCTGCCCCGGCGCAACCATCTGTACTTGGGGGAGACTGTCCGGTTTCTGCTGGTGTTGCGCTGCCGGGGCGGTGCGGGGTCCGGCGCCGGGGGCAGCCCGGGCTTGGGCTCCAGAGGAGCCTGGGCAGAACTGGCAACCGCCCTGGCCGCCCTGGCCTCGGTCAGCGCCGGAGGCGGGATGCCGGGTGGCGGCGGTGCCGGCGACCAGGATTCGGAGCCCCCAGGGGGAGGGGATCCTGGGGGTGGGGGTTTGTTCCGAGGCTGCAGCCCCCTTCTCACCCACGGCCCGGGCCCTGCTACCTCAGGGGGAGCGACCACGGTGAGGAGCTTTGGGGGACCCGGCACAGGGCGGAGGGGGTTTGCTGGGGGCGTAAGGCAGGAGGCAGATGACCTGCTGGTCTTAAAGGGAAAGGCTGCAGGCTGCCTCTGACTTGCTCCTGACCTCTTCACCCCTTTCCCAACCCCAGCTGCCTGTGGAGGAACCGATTGTTTCCACAGATGAGGTCATCTTCCCACTCACCGTTTCACTGGATAGACTGCCCCCAGGGACACCTAAGGCCAAGGTAAGATGAGCAAGGAGTGGAGCTGTTGTCCTAATTAAGACACCTTTTCCAGGCTCAGCCATCTGTCTTTCCTCTTGACAGATTGTAGTGACTGTGTGGAAGCGGGAGGTTGAGGCACCAGAGGTCAGAGATCAAGGCTACCTGCGATTGCTGCAGACCCGATCTCCTGGGGAGACATTCCGGGGCGAGCAGAGCGCTTTCAAGGCCCAAGGTGGGCAGGACAACGAAGAGGCGAAGGGCTAGAGTCTCTCGGAATTGAGGGAGAGAGGGGAGGGGTCACACTGGAAAGTGGCTAATGGGCTCTGAGAAGAGGAAGGTGAGAATTCTGGGTTGGAGGTGAGGTCAGCCCCCAGACCATCACTTCTTGCCCCCAACCCCTCCCGCAGTGAGCACGCTGCTGACTCTGCTGCCCCCTCCGGTTCTGAGATGCCGGCAGTTCACTGTGGCTGGAAAACACTTGACCATGCTCAAGGGTAAGCAGGTCTGCCAGCTCCAGCCTCGGGGAGCAGCAAGGGAACTGATTGGATGCAGTTCCTCTGGGCAGGCTGGTGGGGTCCGGTTTTTTCTGGGTAAAGGTGGGGCCTGAGGGGTCCAGCTATTCTGAGCCAAGCTGGTCCTCTCCCACAGTGCTGAACAGCTCCTCTCAGGAGGAAATCTCCATCTGGGATATCCGAATCCTCCCCAACTTCAACGCCAGTTATCTACCTGTCATGCCCGATGGCTCTGTGCTGCTGGTGGACAATGTCTGGTGAGGTCCTGGGAGGGGCGAGGCTGTGAAGTGGTGGGGATGGCTTCAGGGACTGAGCTCTGGCATGGGGAGACCATGCCTTGTTCTCTTTTCTGAGCTAGTCACCAGTCTGGGGAAGTCTCCATGGGCTCCTTCTGCCGCCTACCTGGGACCTCTGGCTGCTTCCCCTGCCCACTGAATGCCCTGGAGGAACACAACTTCCTGTTTCAGCTGCGAGGGGGTGAGCAGCCCCCTCCAGGGGCCAAGGAGGTGAGCATAAGGGGCTGGTGTGTTCGAAGAAAAGTGATAAGGCAGTGGGAGGGAAAGATCATGCAGCTGACTCAAGATGGGAGGGGCACTCTTAATACCTGCCCCAACCCCCTTTGTCCCTCCCACAGGGCCTGGAAGTTCCCCTGATTGCTGTGGTTCAGTGGTCCACCCCAAAGCTGCCCTTCACTCAGAGCATCTACACCCACTACCGGTGAGTGTGGATCCCGGAGGAACTGTGGCATTCGCCTTTGTGGCTTAACACACACAGCTAGCATCCCTCTCTCACCACTCCTAGCCTGCCCAGTGTCCGCCTGGACCGTCCGTGTTTCGTGATGACCGCTTCTTGTGAGTCCCCTGTTCGGACCTACGAGCGATTCACTGTCACCTACACTTTGCTCAACAATCTCCAAGACTTCCTTGCTGTGAGGCTCGTGTGGACCCCAGAGCATGCACAGGCTGGTAGGTCAGCTGCCAGGTGGGGATCTGATCCCCAGGGAGGAGAAAAGAAAGGAAAAAGTCAGGGAGGCCAGACAGTGATAACAGCCAAACTTGGTGCCAGCCCCACCACAGGAGGTGACTTGTGGCAGGTGGCTTCCGCCCTGTACCTGGGTCATCTCCCCAGTGTCCTAGATGGAGAGTTTAGAGAGGCAGTGGGGCAGAGTGACTTTCAGGGCATAGACACTGGAGCTGCACTTGCTGGTGTGAACTCTACTTCTCTCTTTTACTAGCTGTGTGACCTTGAATAAGTTACTTAACCTCTCTGGGCCTCAGAGTCCTCACCTCTAAAATACAGCAACTCATATCTCATGGGGTTGTCATGCAGATACTGAGTTAATATACGTGACATGCCTTGCACACAGTAAGTATTAGCCGTTGTTATCTACAACATGCACAAAAGATAACGTTTGCTCAGTTTACTCCACAGAGTGGCTTTGAGAATCAGATGTGCTGGCGAAGGCCCTGTGGGAATGAGGAACGCTGTAGTGTTTGCTGGTCCCTGTTTCTGCCCCCAGGAAAGCAGCTGTGTGAGGAGGAGCGCCGGGCCATGCAGGCTGCCCTGGACTCCATCGTCTGCCACACGCCCCTCAACAACCTCGGCTTTTCCCGGAAGGGCAGCGCTCTCACCTTCAGTGTGGCCTTCCAGGCTCTGAGGACGGGACTCTTCGAGGTGGGCTGGGGAGGGTCTGAGCTGAGTGCTGAGTGATGCAGAATGCTGGGGTGTATGGAGGCAGGACCCTTAGATTTTAGGGATGAAATAAAAAGCTGGGCAGAGGGAAGGTGGGATTTAGATTTGACATCAGTCTGTCACGTGGGGAAGACCATTTGGAAGGAGGCCTGGGCCCTGGAAGCCAAGCTGGCATGCTGACCTGCGTCTCCCCCCAGCTAAGCCAGCACATGAAACTGAAGCTGCAGTTCACCGCCAGCGTGTCCCACCCTCCACCCGAGGCCCGGCCTCTCTCCCGCAAGAGCAGCCCCAGCAGCCCTGCTGTCCGGGACTTGGTGGAGAGGCATCAGGCTAGCCTGGGCCGCTCCCAGTCCTTCTCCCACCAGCAGCCTTCCCGAAGCCACCTCATGAGGTACAGAACCAGGGGGCGTGGCATGGGATGGGGTAGAGGCTGGGAGCAGGGAGGGTGCCGGGTCTGACCAGCGCCCACAGCCTCTGCCTTCCCCCAGGTCGGGCAGTGTGATGGAGCGCAGGGCCATCACGCCCCCTGTGGCCTCTCCTGTTGGCCGCCCCCTCTACCTGCCCCCGGACAAGGCTGTGTTGTCTCTGGACAAGATTGCCAAGCGCGAGTGCAAGGTCTTGGTGGTGGAACCCGTCAAGTAGCATCGTGCCAGCTCTGTTCCCTCTTACACTCCAGAGACCCAATGC